ATAAATAAATAAACAAATCAATGAAAATTGTCCTTAGAAAGACGATACATGCACATTAAGTAAAATTTTTTATTTAACTTTCTTACCATATTTTCTGCACATATGTACGATGTTTAAATTCAACTTTTTAATAACACGATTTTATATCGCTGTAAAACATTGTAATTGTTACCGAACGCTGTAGTATAAAAGATAAAATTAATCTAGTTGTAAAATAAATATTGTTATTTGATATGTAAAACCATTACAAATAATGTGGATTTTAGAGGAGAAAACTACGGTCTTATAGAATGAATTACAACAGTTGTAAGAACCATACATATATTTCCGTGGCAAGGCGATTCCGTGTAAAATAATGAGAATTTTTTTTTTTACAAAGGTATGTGGACGTATTGCATAAATACACTCGTATTTTAAAATTTTAATGCAATGATATTTTTATGTGTCAGTTTTATTTTTTATGATGATTTATTGAGCAGACTTTTACATGTATCTGTAGACATTTCCCGGCCGTGATTATAATCGGACAAGATGATACAAAGAGGCAATCATATTATTTGTTATATATTTCATTTTCACAACTTGATATTTAAGTAATATGCTGTCATAGATTTTATTAAGCAGACAAATGAGAGAGAGAGAGAGAGAGAGAGAGAGAGAGAGAGATTCGGTTTTAGCCCCCCTTCCTCTTTTAAAGGTAATATTTGTATGCACATGTTCAAATGTATAATCATTGAGATGGTGACCATCTCATAGGGCCCTGCTTAAATATTGGACATAAGGATTTCAGAGACTTAACCTACGACTTGAAAATTTTCCAGTTGGCGTAAAACTTTAATTCAAACTCATAGCTAACCTCTTAGGCATTTGTTTGATTAATCTGAGCAAGATTAAGCCAAATGGAAGAATTTTAGGTCCAAAAACTGGATTTCAAAGATACCAGCCATGACATTCACATCTGACCTAGAAATATGGTTCAAGGTCACTGCAAAATCTTTTCCTAAAAGCTCTGTTTTTGTGAAGTATGTGCCAGATAAGGATAAGAGAGAGAGAATACTTTATCTGGAATTTTTTTTGAAAGGTAGTTTCATATGACCTTGACCTAGAAACTTTAAGATCACTGCACACCCTTTGACCAAAGGCACTCTGTTAGTGAACTATGAGCCAGATTGCACAAAGAGGGGAGAATATATGATCTGGATAAGGATTTTGTTATTTTAGGAATGACTCTAATTCTTGGCCAAATTATTCGAGTATAACCTGGTTTGGGTCAGTTTACGCTTTATAATCCGCGAAGCGGATTATAAAACAGCGTAAACTGACCCAAACCAGGTTATACTCGAATAATTTGGCCAAGAACTAGAGTCATTCCTTATAATTTAATTTTAAAATCATTAAATAACTATGGGTGTAAAATTTCGTTATTTTTTATTAGTTCAAATTTGCCGCTCAATAATACAACCATAGTAACGGAAGTGATGGGAATCGAGGGGAGGTAAAAACTGATACATAGGCCTAGCAGCCATGTTGTTTGGTTACATGTGGTAAGATCGAATTATTGTTTGAAATTAAAGGTACATTTATTAAATCTGGAATTTTCTATGAATCCCGAGGACTGGAAATGAGAGGACAGTATGGATACAGATGATTCAGCTGGTTGTCAGGGGGGTGTGTCCCCGTACCAAACCAGGTTATACAGAAATAATTTGTGTTCCTTTTTGGATATTAACCAATCAGAGGCTAGAATACAAACAAAATTAAATTATATAATTATGTATGACCTTTACCTTAGACCAAGAAACTTAAAGCTTGGTTCAAGGTTACTGCACACCCTTTACCCAAAGGCACTCTGTGGGTAAAGTTTGAGCCAGATTGGGCCCAGGAGAGAGAAAAATATGCTCCAGACAAGTGATCTCGGATGAACAAACTGATCAATGTAGGGCACCCACTTTGCAGAGCCCTAATAAATGAAATATAAAGTTTAATCTATTTCTGAATATCTTTAATAAAGCAAAACACATTATGGTAGTAATAAACAAACCATAAAAAATCCAAAGAACAGAACAGATTGATTAACTATCAATCTTTTCATATTATGACCAATGTCAAATTATAACATCAATGTAACCATGGTCAAAACCTTTAAAATTTAATCCATATAAACCAGAACTGTCCGAAAAGGATTAATACCCTCTGTGGGCCCTCATTTTATATAAGCGTCCAATTGATGCGACAATGGATATAGCCATTCACTTGTCCCAAAAAACCTTCAAAAATTTATGGATCAAAATGAAAATAAGGACAAACGGAGGGAGAAACAAATGGAATGAAACATGTAAATGGATAAACAGACATTATAGTAACTGTTATATTACCAATATGTTCCCCCTACACCTTCACATACATCTTTTGAGACAATCATGTCACTAAAAGATTTTTCCTGAAAAGGATAAAGTCCATGAGTAAAAATAAACCCGCAAAGAGAAAATTGGTCATATCACATAAATAGCATGAGCATATAAAAAGCATACTCTTGAAACTTATTTAAACAAAACAGATGGATAGACATTGCAATTCCATTACAATCTCCAAACTTTGTTAGCTGAAGCATAAAATAATAAATGTTTTTAAAATAAGGAGTAATAAACTTCAACAACTTTGTAAAGTTTCCTAGCTTTTTCAAACAAGAATTTAGAACATTGTTTTCTCCATTCTTGAATGCAAGACAATATCACTCCTACTTGTTTACCTACCATATAACACACTAAGTTTGGTAGATATGTGTCACAGAAGTACTTGAGAAGTTAACATTGTTAAAACATTAACAAACAATGCTTACAAACAGAAAAGAACAGATCCAAAAGAGATATTAGGGAATGAAACCTTACAATATATCCAATGATTTAATATTCACACTTTTTGACCCATGAAAACAAAAGCATATTCAACATTAATTCTCCACAAAACAATTTATGTTAGAAATAAACCAGTACGATTATATCTAAAATCTTACAGCCCAAAAATGAACAATCCAATGAAAATTTAATGATGCATAATTCACCCTACTTTGATAATACAGCAGAATATAATCAATTCAGAACTTTTAATTGAACAGTTTTATAATAATTTTAAATAAGAGACTTTTTATTCTAAAATAAGAATTGGATACATAAGTAGAATAAAAAAAAAAATAGGACCAAGACTATGATATCAATTAAACCTAGTGTAACTATTAACTGCACAAGTTCATCATAAAATGAACTAGAAATATGTCCATAGGACATGAATGCCCCGCTGAATGTATATTAGTAATGCAACATTTTAACACAAATTGAGAAAAGTGAGGTCAAGGTCAAAGGAAAGGTCAAGGTCAAAAATTGTCGAAGCAGTTGAAAAGGTTACATCAGTATGTATTAGCATATGAAGTTTGATAAAAATATTATGAATGGTTTCTTTAAAACTGAGCTATACACTAGTTTAAGATAAGTGAGGTCAAGGTCAAAGGAAAGGTCAAGGTAAAAAAAAAATATTGATGCAGTTGAATAGCTCTCATCAGTATGTATCAGCATATGCAGTTTGACACTAATTTAAGAAAAGTGAGGTCAAGGTCAAAGGAAAGGTCAAGGTCAAAAAATGTTGATGCAGTTGAATAGCTCTCATCAGTATGTATCAGCATATGAAGTTAGATAACACTTTCTTGAACATCTTTGCTAGCCAAGGGTTTATGATACGCTACTCTCCTCATAAACCCTTGGCATACGGTGTAAAAAAAAATTGGGATTTTTTTCTCAAGTTGTGATTGGAGTTGATCGACATCGTTCGACCAATCAGCAATTGTTTTTTGTAAATGACGATATTTGCATTCGGGATATACCTTGACTCTTTAATATTGGGAATGAAAAACGCAATTTAAACAACGATCCGTAAGATAACATGCCATTCTATGAATAGCTATATGGCGTCATCCAATATCTTAATATGTGATTAGGAATCTATACTGAAGATGTATATTTGCATTTTAACATGTTTAAATAACAAATTAACATAACTCAATACTTTCTTGCTAATTATTTTTTAAAAACATTTTTTTTTATAAACGCTCTTTATTTCTGTCGATGACACAATCTGTGCGTACCTGGTAAGAATCGTGATCACGTGACAAAAACAATCCCGTCTTTTGTCAGCACCGTATGTCAAGGGTTTATGAGGAGAGTAGCGTATCAGAAACCCTTGGCTAGCGAAGATGTATCTTGAATGGTATCTTTAAAACTGAGCTAAAAATTTATTTAAGAAAAGTGAGGTCAAGGTCAAAGGAAAGGTCAAGGTAAAAAATATTGATGCAGTTGAATAGCTCTCATCAGTATGAATCAGCATATGAAGTTTGTTAAAATTATCTTGAATGGTTTCATTAAAACTGAGCTAAACACTAATTCAAGAAAAGTGAGGTCAAGGTCAAAAGAAAGGTCAAGGTCAAAAAATGTTGATGCAGTTGAATAGCTTACATCAGTTTGTATCAACATATGAAGTTTGATTACACTATCTTGAATGGTATCTTTAAAACTGAGCTAAACACTAATTTAAGAAAAGTGAGGTCAAAAGAAAGGTCAAGGTCAAAATATGTTGATGCAGTTGAATAGCTTACATCAGTAAGTATCAACATATGAAGTTTGATTACACTATCTTGAATGGTATCTTTAAAACTAAGCTAAACATTAGTTTAAGAAAAGTGAGGTCAACTCAAAGGAAAGGTCAAGGTCAAAAAAATGTTGATGCAGTTGCATAGCTCTCATCAATATCTATTAGCATATGAAGTTTGATAAAAATATCTTGGATAGTTTCTTTGAAACTGAGCTTTGAACAGAGCTAAATGCAAAGTGTGATGGAAGGACAGAAGGACAGAGGACGGACATGACAAACACTATATGCCCGGCCATATTCATGGCGGGGCAAAAAAATTCCAATTTTTCATCATTTCATTATGAGCACTGATAAACAGTATTTCAAGTTGATTTCCCCAGCTTGATGTTATTCAATTTTGCCCTTATTTGTGGCAATGTCCTTGTTGGGCATATCTTTTGGGCCTCCTTCAATTCTGACTGATGAACACTTATCTGAATGCCCAAAATGTATCCTTTAAATTTCTTTCGAAGAAACTCTGTTTCTTCATTTGTCCATCTTCTTTTAGTACCTCGTTTTCCTGAAAAAGGAGAATTATCAATATATAACATTATTTGTCAAGATCATGTTGATTAAGAACAGGTAGAAAGATAAAGAGGAAACCCAATTCTGATGGACAGTGTATAAAAAGATCACCTCATGACTAATAAAAAGATTTCTTTTATATCAAACCAAAGCATTTTAAAATAGGAACAATACATGTTTGTAAAACACTTATGCCCCCCTTGGGCGTAAATTATAGGGTGCACAAGCCATTATGGGCAGTATGGAAATGACTAGTGCAAGGGACATAACTCTGTCAAAAAAAATTTTAAGTCCAAGGGGCATAACTCTGTCAATAAAGTGCCCCGCCACAACATGATATGCCCGTCAAATATTGTTCAATTATCATAAACATGCAGTTTAGGGTGCAAGAAAATCATGTCAACCTTAATTCAAAGATTTCCATGATTTTTCCATTCCTTAAAATATTTGATGTTTATACATTTCCTTTAGTGCAGGCACTAATTATAATAAATTTCTCAACTGGTTGTGTTAGACCTTGACAAATGCCCATCTGCAGCCCCCCCCCCCCCCCCCCCCATCTTTCATATTTATTTGATATTTTCAAAAAATTAAATAGAAATTTCATATCAAACAATATCAAAATAGTCTTAACAATTTAATCTATACCAAATTAATTTTGAAAATAAAAGGCTGGCCATCAAATGACATATGCTATAAACTGACAAGCAGTTTTTCTGTCTAATTCCCAAAGGATACAGATAAGAGCTGCTTGATCAGAGATGCTCTAACAGAAATGATTGAGACAGCTAGCCTTCCTATACATTGAACTCATTAATTATCATCTTTAACTGGATGCATGTTTCATTACTCCCAAGGGATGAATGGATCTGCACTATCTGCTTTAATAGTCTGTATTGCAATAAAAATGCATATACATGTCATTCTGTTGAAACAAAAACTTGTGTAAACTTGATGCATTATTTTTAATAAGATTAATGCATGACTCTTAGATTTGTAGGAACTATCTACCATAAAACATTTTTAAAAAAAATACTTGATGATTTCTTAGATTTAATGTCAGACTGGTTTTAAGCTGCAGTTCATATTGACAAACAGACAAAAAGACATGCCCCCCCCCCCCCTTACATTATATAATATCAAATTAGTTTATTATACAATTTCAAGTTAGTTTTAATTACTTTTCACCAAATTCATTATAAAAGTTAAAAGGCTATCTAACTAGATTCATTTAGTTCAACGCTGATTCCTTTGCCCAGTTCCCAGGAGATATAGATAACACCTGCTTGATCAGAGATGTTCTACCAGTTAGTTCCTCACACTAAACTCATTAATTTCTCTCTAATTTGACATGTAATTTTCTGTTATCAAAATTCTCCTTGACCAGTGCTTGATGATTACACCCATGGGAGAGGTGGAATTTCTCTTATAACATTACATTTGTTATAGATTGCTGTAAAGTATATAATAGTGGTGTTCCAATCATCGATTATAATCGAAAATCAGTTGATTGCTGGCATAATCTAAGCGCTCAATTACAAATTTTTTATTCTGATTAATCGGGTGATTTATTTTATTTTACAAGCGTAATAGTTTTTAAGCTGAATATTCAAGCCACAACTTGTCTATTAACTTATTTGTGTATTGTAATGGCACAGGCGAACAGACATTGTATTCATACCCGGGTAACAACGCCCATTTCTGGGTATGGACCTACTTTGGATTCTACAAAATGAAGGAAGAACCAGCTGGACTAGATAGAACTTTCTATCTTTAAAATGATATTGTCCCAAGGACTAGGGCTTGTCCCGAGACACAGATTATTCAACTACAGCTGGACCACCACAGAAAGTAGTTGTTCACCCATTCTTACAATTTCATAAACTAAATTGACAGACTTTGTAAATGTCCGATTATAATTGATAATTAATTAGTTACAGCTGTCCGATCATCGATTATGAAATTTTTACCGATTCCCATCACTAGTATATAATGAAAAAAAAGTATTTTCTTGAGTTAACACTTTTTAATAAGGATACTGCAACATTCTTACATTTTTGGGGACTGTGTAATTTAATAGTATAGAGACACAGTTTTTTTTTTTAAATTTCACTGAATTAAAGGTCACAGTGACCTTGAAATAGGTCGCAACACACCTTCTACCTAAGATGCACAAATTGGCCAAGTTTGATGATTCTAAGTCTAATAGTTTTCTAGTTATGAGCCGGACAGGATTTTTCCATATTTGGCCATAGCATCTTAATTAAAGGTCAGAGCGACCTACTTTTAATGCGTGACACACCTTCTAACCAAGATGTATCAGCTGACAAAGTTTGATAATTCTAGGCCTAATAGTATTAAAGTTATGAGCCGGACATGAAAAAGCTAACAGACGGATGGACGGACAGACATGAAGGCTATAACATAATACGTCCCGTCTTAAGACGGGCGTATAAAAATTGTTCGATTGTACCCAAAAGAAAACTTGACTTAGATATTCATATGATAAACCTGTATATGAAATTTCATTTCATATGATAAACCTTTATACCAAATTTCATTTCAATATGTGCAACCTAAGCAGAGATAATGAACGGAAACTGCAAATTTTTGGAATTTTTCCATGTCCAAGGGGCATAATTCTGTCAAAAATTGTTCGATCGTACCCAAAATAAAACTTGACCTAGATATTCATACAATAAACCTATCTACAAAATTTCATTTCAATATGTGCAACCTTAGCAGAGATAATGAACGGAAACTGTTGTTCTTTGAAGGGGGGCATAATAAATTGCATAAAACCTACATTCACATTTGATATTTTTTATCAAAGCAAGAAAGTAAAACATGTAAATTATTAATTATGATGGCCTAGTTTCAAATTTATTTGTCTTCAATTTTTTTCATATTAGGGATTAGGGATGCTGTTCGCGTATCGGGGATAAAACTTAATGTGTCAACAAGCAAATCAGAAATATACATGTATTTTACCACTGACACAGAATGGAATTATATTGTATTGATAAAATACCTTTTTTTGACTGTGTCTCAATGTCCATGATGTCTCTAGTTGCACTTGATTGACTGTTATTTTCATTTTCTCTGTCATTCAAGTCTTAAAGAGAAACATTACAATATGATTACCTTTGGATGTTAACGAGGTTCGCTCCTGAGCTTTGAGCAAATTCTTATCTTAACCTATATTTCAAAAATTCTGCATAATGTTTTAATTCTTACAATAAATTTGGATTTTACAATGCCAATTTAACTATATTAAGTTAAAACTCCATGATTAAATTCCATATCAAAAGCATTAAGTGAGGAACTATATTTTGTGGCGGAAGGTTTTTTAGAAGAAAATGATCATTTTTTCTCTTTCGAAGTATTTAAAGTATGTTAAGTTTGGATTCCTATTTTACATGCAGTCTGCACACATAGTTATTTTGTGCAGTGGACTGTTTTATACTGCTCCTAAATTATCTATTAAATAAACTGTCATGAATTCTATCATCATATTTGATAAATAAAGCAAAATATATTGTGGAAATGAAGAAAAAAATAGCCCTAATTTAAGCTTAAAATTAGCAGTATTTTAGTAATATCTAAAAATTAACATCACAGACCCCCACTTTTAATTTTCTTTTCTGAATATATACGATACTTTTAACCATTCTTCTTAAATTCATTAAAATGTCATTACTTTCAAATGATTTTTTTTGCTCGTTAAATTTTAATGCCAGAAAAATGAAAATGTTTGAGTGCAAAAAGGTCAAATAATTGAACATGCGGAGTAATTCGATAATTTCTTCGTTGTTACAAATGTTAATGTGTCAATTTAAGATGAAATAAGACTGTGTTTGTTCACTATAATTTATTTTAACAAAAAATATTGAAGGAAAAACTTTAAAAATTGATTTATGTGTAAGACGTATTTACAGTGCAAAAAGGTCAAACTAAATGCTCTGTAGCGCCAAAAGAAGCGCATTGACCCCCATTTTTGTTTTGATTTTAATAAAGCTATGTGTATAAATTCTAAAAATATACTTGATAAAAAATTCTCATTACTTTTGATGGCAGGATCCAACCTCCTTAATGTGAACATGTATTAGCCTAATCATATTATATACATTTCATGAATGCTTATTTATAGGCACTGATAAAAAGAATTTTTTATTTCATTATAGTGTCCAATTTCAACCTGTTATTATTAATTCCAGTCAAGTGTGCCTTTTGCATTACGTTACAACCTATTATGACAGCTGCGCTCAAGGTAAATAGTACACGCCTCCTAACCACAAGCTTTATGACTGGTTTAAGTTTCTTCTTATCTCTGATTGGTTGCTTGTGCAACAGACTATTTCTGCATCAATGTTGATAAAATGAGTTGACCAATCACACAGCGGGGACATGAATTTTTTACACTGGGCGCATCTGTCGAAAAAGATCGTGACGTGATGCGAAATGGCACACTTCACTGGAATTGATAATAACAATGATCACAATTTACTGAATTTTGATCCCAGTGCACCATCAATGTTAATTACCATCAGTTTTATCTTTCAGCCTGACTTCAATTTTTCTTTGGCTATTAGTCAAGGCATAAGACTTTAAGATCAACAAATGGAAAAAACTTCACAGAGTTCTATGATTTAATTAATCAAATATAAATTCTAGTAACTTACTAAGAAAGATTAAAGTTTTGAAAAGACAAAAATGAATACAGACCAACAAGACAGCTACACAAATGTCAAAAACAGATCAATTTCCCATTAAGAAATCTCACAACTATGATATTCAAAAACACTGAACTCATGTATGATAAAACTGCAACTGATCTAAATTTGTGGTGCATTTTGAATACACTAATATACATGTAAGTGATGGTAAATTAACTGTAATCGTGAAAGAACTTGCATGAAACCTAACTTTAACTAGGGTTGCACAGGTATATAATATCAACTTCATCAGTAATATTAATATCTCATTTAGCATGTAGAAAAAGTACTTCGAAAATAATTTAAAAACTATTTTGTATATTTTATGTCTTCATGTTAGTCACTAATCTTGCATTTCTGTAAATATATATACCAACTTATCAATTACCTTGAATTGCAAAGCATTTGAACAAATTACAACCACATTTGTATTATAGGCTCATGTAAGCATAAAAAAGAGCAGACCATAAATGAAAACTAAATTTTTAATTTAAACAGGTGAATACATGCATTTTAATCTCTGTTTGTTATAAAGTATATTTCATAATTTCCATAATAAAAAAAAATTGGTTAAGTCTACAATCTGCTGGTAATTCTCTATTAATGTCTGCATTCCCTTTTAAATTTAGGTATATATTTTACCATCATCAGCTGTATTTTGGTCTGGGTACATTCCACTATCATCTTTGCTGACCCCACTGGCTTTCTGGTCACTCAAACACAAGTTTGTTAAACCTTTAAAAATGAAATCACCTTATTTACCAATCAAGATATTTGATTTTCTAGTTATCTTCATTTTGTCACTCAGGGCAGAAGCTTAAAAAAGCATGCAGACCATAAATGAAAACTAAATTTTTAATTTAAACAGGTGAATACATGCATTTTTAATTTCCTGTTTGTTATAAAGTTTATTTCATAATTTCCATGCATGGAAAAAAAATTGGACAAGTTTACAATCTACCGGTTTTCTTTATTAACGTCTGCATTCCCTTTTAAATAAAGGTAATATTTTACCATCATCAGCTGTATTTTGGTCTGGGTACATTCCACTATCATCTTTGCTGACCCCACTGGCTTTCTGGTCACTCAAACACAAGTTTGTTAAACCTTTAAAAATGAAATCACCTTATTTACTAATAAAGATACCTGATTTTCTAGTTATCTTCATTTCATCACTCAGGGCAGAAGCATAAAAAGGATGCGGACCATAAATAAAAACTAAATTTTTAATTTAAACAGGTGAATACATGCATTTCTAATCTCTGTTTGTTATAAAGTATACTTCATAATTTCAATCATAAAAAAAATGGGTTAAGTCTACAATCTACCGGTATTCTCTATTAATGTCTGCATTCCCTTTTAAATTAAGGCCTAAAAAATTTAATAACTTGGTTCTCAGGCCCACCCGCATCTCGTTCAACAATGCGCATTACCCATTTTTATCCTCAAATGAATAAAATAAAATTTCTCTCATGCGCTCGTGTGGTGCTAAAAAATCCGGAATTCCCGACCGCATTTTGACTGCATTTTAGAAATCAGTAAAACGTTTGAAAAACATCAAGATGATCCACACTTTTGGCCTAGTTAAAAATCGCAAATATGGCCGTTGAGTAAACAGGATAAGGCGCCAAGATTAAGTTTAGTCATGATGGCATTGATTTCAGTACAAATTCATGAGGGAATGTACTTCCACGGTACAAAGTGGGGGTTTCTGAAGGCTTTTTCCATGCTAGAACTCGATCAATAACGCTATCAAAGACGGCTCTCTCAACCTCGGAACTCGGACGTCAGCAAGATTTGCAGATTTTATTTAGTGTGGGTAAACCAAAGACTGATAAATTTGACGTTTAATAAAATCATAAGCGCTGTTTATAGTGCTGAAACACTTAGATTAGTTGTGTTACGTAAGCAATTGACCAGATGCATCACTAAAAGTATTGGGTTCTGTAAGTTTAACACGTCTGGTTTTTAGGATGCCGTCTTTTCATTAGACGAATCATCGGAATGTAGAAGATGCAAGAGAAAAAAAAAGCAGGAAATAAATTATCTTGATTTCTGCACTAGATGTTGAAGCACTGTTGATTAAAAGTTGCTAGTTTTGAATTTATATTAAAAAAAAATATTAAAAAATCAAGCATCTTTTTTTTACGAGATAAAAAGGGGAAAAAAAATGCCTCCCTTCCGCATTTATTTTTGAGAAAACTGGCCTGAGAACCAAGTTATTAAATTTTTTTGGCCTAAGGTATATATTTTACCATCATCAGCTGTATTTTGGTCTGGGTACATTCCACTATCATCTTTGCTGACCTCACTGGCTTTCTGGTCACTCAAACACAAGTTTGTTAAACCTTTAAAAATGAAATCACCTTATTTACCAATCAAGATATTTGATTTTCTAGTTATCTTCATTTTGTCACCCAGGGCAGAAGCTTAAAAAAGCATGCAGACCATAAATGAAAACTAAATTTTTAATTTAAACAGGTGAATACATGCATTTTTAATCTCTGTTTGTTATAAAGTATATTTCATAATTTCCATGACAAAAAAATTGGTTAAGTCTACAATCTACTGGTAATTCTCTATTAATGTCTGCATTCCCTTTTAAATTAAGGTATATATTTTACCATCATCAGCTGTATTTTGGTCTGCGTACATTCCACTATCATCTTTGTTGACCCCACTGGCTTTCTGGTCACTCAAACACAAGTCTGTTAAATCTTTAAAAATGAAATCAACATTATATACCAATAAATAATACCTGATTTTCAGTATTCTTAACTTTATCATACAGGGCAGACCTGAAATGTGGGCTAACTTGCAATACCTAATCACAATATTATGGCTCAATCATTTTTTTCTCAGTATTTTCAGTGGATTTTTTTTTTTCAAAGCAGTACATTTTTTGACCACAGCAAAGATTAAGTAAGAATAATGTTGACTGTACGGATTTAGAATTTCAGAATTAACAGACTATAATAAATGGTGTAAAGGTAGATGAACTATATCTCTATACACATGAAAAGCAGGTATTCTTGATTGACATTCAGTTATAAAAGGGGAATTGTCTGATGAATTTTTAATTTCACTTACCATCCACTGATATATCTGACAGGTTCCTTCCTTTCCATTTATTTACAAACCCAGACTCTACTGCAATCAGAAGTTGTGAGACCTGCAAACAAACCAGAAAGGTCTTAATTAATTGCGCACTCTCTATTGAATATACTTTAAGTAGAGCTACTAGAAAATTACAGTAAACCAACTTTTATTCGCAACTACTTTATTTTGTGACTAACTGGTGAAAATCTGGTTCATGGCTACTTATTTTTGTGACCAATCCTATGTTGCTAATAGTAAAAATCTACCAAAGGCAATAAATTACTAGTTCGCAACAAGAAATGTTTGCGACAATGGGGCATTTTCAATTCTCAAAACATTTTCTTGCACCCGGATAAAAGTTGGGTTACAGTATCCTGGAACATTTTGTTGTTATTGAATTTTTAACTAATTATATCAAAATAAGAAATGTATTGTTTGAATAATTTTTTTAATCTTTATATAAACCTAATAATGATAGTCTTTTCCTAACCTGGAGGTTATGGTGCCCTGGAAAATAGCCAGCAGTTTATTTTGTCTTAGCCAATCAAAAACCAAAGCACCAATAGGTAGTTTTCTTTGAGAAATTAAAAATTTGTTATGTTCATACCTATGTATTGTATATTAAAACATTGCTGTGATGTCATGCCTTTGTTCTTGCAATCTAAACCAGAAGTCTCTAACGAGACTGTAGCTCTACTGGTTGTATTTATAAAGGAAGATGAAAGTAGCACTTGGACTTGAAACTTTGCAACAGCAATAAATAGAATAATGATCCTTGGTTTAGTCTCTTTTGTGGCAAGATTTATTATTATATCAGACTAAAACTATAGGAGGAGTAGCCTTTTAAAACAATTTTACAGAAATTTTGATTTAAGTAACCATGGCAACATCATTCATCAAAATCAAAAAACAATAACACCAATTATGTATCTCTGTAGTCTACTTATATGCAACATTAAACTGAAATCAGACAAAAAGTGTAGGAGGAGTAGCGTTTTGAAAGTATTTCAAAAAAATTTCTATTTTTAGTAACCATGGTAACACTGTTCATCGAAATCTGAAACTGGTACAGAGAATTATGTATCTTAGTGTAGTTTACTTGTGTGCTAAGTAATACTAAAATCAGACCAAAACTGTAGGGGTAGCATTTTGAAGTTATTTCAAGGAAATTTCTATTTTTAGTAACCATGGCAACAATGTTCATCGAAATCAGAAAATCAATATAAAGAATTATGTATCTTAGTGTAGTCTACTTGTTTGCCAAGTTATACTGAAATCAGACCAAAACTGTAAGAGGAGTAGCATTTTGAAAGTATTTCACAGAAATTTCTATTTTTAGTAACCATGGCAACACCGTTCATCAAAATCAAAAACCGATATGCAGAATTATGTATCTTATTATAGTCTACTTGTGTGCCATGTTATATTGAAATCAGATAAAAGCTGTAAGAGGAGTAGCATTTTGAAAGTATTTCACAGAAATTTCTATTTTTAGTAACCATGGCAACACCGTTCATCAAAATCAAAAACCGATACACAGAATTATGCATCTTAGTATAGTCTACTTGTGTGCCATGTTATATTGAAATCAGATCAAAACTGTAGGAGGAGTAGCATATTGAAAGTATTTCACAGAAATTTCTATTTTTAGTAACCATGGCAACACCGTTCATCAAAATCAAAAACCAATAAACAGAATTATGCATCTTAGTATAGTCTACTTGTGTGCCAAGTTATATTGAAATCAGATCAAAACTGTAGGAGGAGTAGCATTTTGAAAAATTGTTTACAGAACAGACGGACAGACAGACAGACGGATGGACGACGGACACCTTACTATCGCATAAGCTCTTCTGGTCTCTGACTAGTAGAGCTAAAAATTACCTGTAGCTGTCCGATAACTAGATATCATTGAGATGGTGGCCATGTCAGAGGGCCCCGCTTTCAGCAACGAACATGAAAATGTAAGGTAGCTGAAAAGGGTTTATTTTGAAGAGGAACATTTGTGTACTATTAAGGGATGTGTTGTTTGAGTCTAAAGGGCTTCCATGTCATCCTTATTATAATAAAAAAGGGCATCATGAGTGCTCCATACCCTTTATCAAAAAACGGCACAAAAATCATGAATGTTGCATATTCTCTATGAAAATTGTTGCATATCCTTTATCAAAATATGGAAGGAAAATCACAAATGTTCCGTACCCTAAGTCAATTGGTAAAGTTTGAGGCTGACTGGACTTAAGGGAAAGAAATTATGCACCGAACAAAGATTTTAAACAGAGAGGCTATTTTTGACCTTGACCTAAAAGCTTCATTCAGGGTCACTGCACATCCATAGACCACTGGGACCCAATAGTACCACTGTTTATATACACTTAAAGACCCAATAGTACCACTGTTTATATATACTTGAAGACCCAATAGTACCACTGTTTATATATACTTGAAGACCCAATAGTACCACTGTTTATATATATACATAAAGATCCAACAATATTATACTGTTCTATATAAAACTCAGATCCAACAATACTGTTGTTAATATACACTCAAAGACCCAATAATACCACTGTTTATATATACTTAAAGATCCAACAATACTGGTCTATATCAGACCCAATGATACTGCTGTTTATATACACTTGAAGACCCACAGTACTACTGTAAAGAAGACCCAATTCCTCAAGTACTACTGTTTATACACTTCATAAAATTTCAATATTGATTTGTATATAATGAGACTCAATAATACTACTGTTTATATTTATACTATATACTTAAAAACTCAACAATACTATTATAAATATATAATTATATACATACACCCTATTAAATCCACATTGGCATCCAAGAGCCATTATTTGAAGAAATTTTAATCCTTTTTACTTTCATAGGTTATGTTTGAATATATTGATACATACATTAACAAGCCTGCTTGATCTTTATATAACAAGATATGTTTGAAAACACTTATGACCAAGGGGGCATAAATATGCCCCCTTGGGCATAAATTATAGGGTGCACAAGCCTTTGTGGGAAGTATGGAAATGACTAGTGCAAGGGGCATAACTCTGTCAAAAATAGTTCGATGGTGTCCAAAACAAACTTGACCTTAATACTCTTATGATAAATCTCTAAGTACAAAATTTCATTTCAATATGTGCAGCCTTCGCAGAGATAATGAACGGAAACTGCAAATTATTGCAATTTGTCTAAGTCCAAGAGGCCTTATTGCAATCGTACCCAAAATAAAATTGACCTAGATATTCTCATAACTCTGTCAAAAATTGTTCGATCATACCCAAAATGTATAGAACTTGACATAGATATTTTCTTGATAAGTCTGCATACCAAATTTTATTTCAGTATGTGTAGCCTTTGCAGAGGTAATGAATGCAAAATGTTGGTTGAGGACAGACACCGACAGCAACCGTCCGTCTTCGAAGGGGGGGCATAATTAAATAGACAATTCTGAAAAACATATATCTATTATGCACTGTACCTTTGTAAGTTCTCTTGTTGAATGAGACAAACGATAGTTCTCTTTATGAGTCTTCACATCGTGACCTAGATGTCTTGCAAGCATTTCTACTTCATTATCTGTCATGTCAAGGATCTAAAATTAAAGCAGAATTTTTTATACAAATTATTGCTGTCTTAGTTTAAATAACACAAAAGTAAAAAAAAAAGTAAACAAGAAATCTGTGAGCCAATGCTCACTAGTAATACCCCCGTTCTTGTGAATACGTCTGGTATGAATAGACGAAAAATGGTTAAACAGAAGTTGACGTCGAATGCGTACAAAAAAGAATCCCACCATATGGCATGCCTAAACAAAGAGTGTGCTAAAATTTCAAACATCTGCGTTGAGTATTTGATGAGAAAACTTACGGACAAGCAGACACACAGAAACACAAGGGTAAAAGAGTATACCCCCCTCTCCTTCGGAGCGGGGGTATAATAAATAAAATTAAGGTCCTGTGGTTAAGAACAAACCTGCGACACTGTGGCAATATATTTTCTAAGATTTGTTGAGCTGATCTTTGATGGTTCTTTTAGACCTGGGCAGCCATTAACAATTTCTTTTAAGTCTGTATGTCCAGCCATTGGTGTTTCTGCATTCAATCTTGCAAATATGTATTCATTATTTACTGGTACCCCAACTTCCTTCCTTAGTGAGTTTAATAGGTCAATCGCTTCTCTTGTGTCCGGTGGAAGAAGGACATATGCATCCACATTTTTTTTGGATTTGCCTGCACTCAAGACCATGTCCATTCTGGAAAAATAATAAATGCTTTAAAACATAGAAGACCCAAGAAAATAATAATGTATTTACATAGTATACATAAAACACATGTTTATCAATGGATCAAATTCAGCACACTGTGCACGTGTAATTATAGGGCGCAGCCATATTGGGTATAAAGTAGCTCCGGTTCAATGGAGGTTTACATGATACAGCCAAGTTAGATGAGGTACGAATCGGCCGAGGTGTGCCGAGTGTACAAAATATAACAAGAGGCCTATAGGCCTTGATGGTCACCTGAGTACCATAGAGGGTCTCATTTTTGCATTTTAAGCTTCATTTTGGAGTCTAGCAATAATATCTAAAAATAGTTATTCATAAAGGATTATTTATATCCTAGCTCCATGTGCCAAAAATTGTAAACTTTTGGTAAAAAGAGACCTGTAGGCCTTTAATGGTCAATCTTTTATAATATTCAGTTTTATTTAATATGCACACAGTTTATTTCTACAAGCATACCATGCACAGAAAATTAAAGTAGATTTCCTAAAATATGGCAGCAATAAGTTAACCAAGCGACTCATTGGTGACCTAAAATGATGAAAATGGTAGAACTATGATCCCCCATTGTGGCCCCACCCTACCCCCGGGGGTCATGATTTGAACAAACTTGAATCTACACTACTTGAGGATGCTTCCATATAAATATGACCAATCATGGCTTTGCTGTTCTTAAGAAGAAGATTTTTTAAGATATTTTCCTATATATTTCTATGTAAAACTTTGATCCCCCATTGTGGCCCCACCCTAGCCCCGGGGGTCATGATTTGAACAAATTTGAATCTACACTACCTGAGGATGTTTCCACATAAGTTACATCTTTCCTGGCCCAATGGTTCTTGAGAAGAAGATTTTTAAATGATGCCATTATTTTTTCACTAATTCCTAATTATCTCCCCTTGAAAGAGGGTGTGGCCCCTCCTTTGAACAAACTTGAATCCCCTTTACCCAAGGATGCTTCATGGCAAGTTTGGTTGAAATTGGCCCAGTGGTTCTGGAGAGGAAGTCAAAAATGTGAAAAGTTTACAGACGGACGGACAGACAGACAGACAGACGACGGACAAAATGTGATCAGAAAAGCTCACTTGAGCTTTCAACTCAGGTGAGCTAAAAAGAGTATTTCCAGAAACATATTTTTGTGATCACGCAATATTGAAACTATAAACTACCAGGTACTCATTGACAATATGAATTTTGTAAAACAGTCATGAAGTCATCTGTGGCCCTTTCCTCCTAAAATGTCTGGTTTAAAGCTGCTTGGCATTGCATCTTAATTTTGCTTACTCATGAACATTGACCCCCACGAATTAAAATGACTTTACAGTATTTGATAACAAGTCAAATTTCTTGCACAAAATTTAAAGATAAACTTGATGTTTTTCAGTATGTGTCTTCACATGTAAGCTAGTTCTTTACACTAGAACTGAAGTCTAATAAAAAAAAATCACAAGTAATAAGAAAAAATATAAATAAATCAGAAATGATGCAGTGATGCCTTTGATCATGTACAAAAAAATGATTAAAATTGTGATGAAAAGAATGCTGGACAAATATCACTGTCTTGAACTTTTAAGTGCTTATTTTCCTCGAAGTGATTGTCATAGGGGCAGACTGTGGTCTTTGATTGTTTTATTTCAGTAAACAAACAAAAGATAGGTTTTCACTGATGAGGCTTAAGAAATACTGTCTTTTCTTTGCCAACATTTAATACCATAATTAATCTTAAACCATGTAAAACTTAAGTAAAATTTGCTCATATTTTGAATACCCAGTATACAATTATGATTTTGAAGGTGAAACAGTTTACATCTAATTCCAGGGATTTAGAAACTAAGAACTTGCTCATGCTCATGTAAACTTCAATGTGTATATGTCTTTGGAAAAAAAAACAAACTCAATTGACAAAACATACGTTAGATGTTCTTGAAATGGTATTATCTTTCCTTCTCTTTCACATAAGGAGGACTGACAGTAAATAGAATCATAACTTAGAATAGTCTCTAAATATATTTCAAAACCCAAGACTGTTAAAGGGATCTTTGGTGTCTTGGGAGTTGGAATACTTCAAAACATTTACTTTGTATCGTAGTTGCATGGACCTTAATTTATAATACCAAGTGAACAAAAAGGTATCCTTAGTAATTCTTAATACATGTAGCATCTTTCCATGTCGAGCCACACATTACCAAAGTGGCACCCCCTTTTTCTTTAAAATAGACTTTTCCCACAAATAAAGCACGGGAATTTTTAATTCCAAGACTGTTTGCCTTAATTTTTTTTTTTAAACCAAAAACAGTGAGGACCCCCCCCCCCTCCCCCCCAAACTGTGAAATTGTACTCAGCATGAATTAAATAAGTGAACCTATTCAGAATAACAGAATAAATAAATGTGATCGAGGTCTATAGTTTACAATTGAAATGAGTTGTCATCTTTGTCTATGGAAATACCCCTTTACCTCAAAAAGGATGCAGAACATATATCCCAAAAAGGGCACTGCAAAGCGGAGCATCCCCTCGCAAACGAGCATATCTATAAATCAAGACAGCATTCGACTCCATCCCAATGCAGATTATATCACTTCCATTATGCACACAAGGACACTTCCATTATGCACACAAGGACACTTCCATTATGCACACAAGAACAAACTAATCCCCCCCCCCCAATAGGAAGGAGATCGTACGTCAAAGTCTTTTAATGAGGAGATTGTGAATAGTTTGGTTGCATGTACATCATTAAAACACTAATGAAGCTTGGGTGATAGGTGGATTTGTATTTCTCAAACTCAATGTTTATTTTCACCTATCAATACATCATATGACCTGTAGTTTACAAGTATATAGGGCCCAAGAACCCTCAAGAATTACATTACATCCCTCACTGACACTGTGCTTCATTTTCTAAGGATCTGACTCCCTTGTCATTCATTCATGCATGTATCAATCATCTCTACAACATCCCTGTTTTAAGATATTCCATCCATGATTCTCTTTCACTAAATATCAGTCTCCTAAAGAATACTCTGCCATGCATTTGTCTTTAGAAAGCATTTTAGAGTAGAAAAACTAGCTTTTACCAAGAGAATATTTTTTAATTCCAAGAGAAATGTTCAAAAAATACAAATACCTGAGCAGTTATTGATCAACAAAGATTGCAATGAGGTCTCCAAAGATAAGCTAATTTTTAAATATAAAAATTTAAATAGTTAATAAGATTACAAATGCCCTGGTAAAAAAATGTGTTTCATCATTAGGAATAATATTTAAATAGAATTTTGTTTAAACAAATAGATATATATTTTAAAATTTATTTTTTATTGAATCAAGACAAAAGGAGACAGTTCTTCAAGGACAGGTCAAAATAAAAAATAGGAGCACATTGAATTCTTGCTTATAATTGTGATAAAACATTACTTATCAATTATGCATTAATGCACTGAAAACATTGAAATGTATCAAAACTGATATTCATCAGTGACCACAACAAAGTAATTTCGGCATATTTATAAAGTTGAAGATATTGTAAATGACTGTTAAAGGTGCTTAAATATCTTCAACATAAATTCTAGTTGATGTGTTAGCAATTTATGTTAGCAATCATTGTTGCCAGCTAGGAATAAAACTTCCAAAATAAATGCCCATTTTTTAAAGAGTAGGGAGAATTAAGTGGGGGGGGGGGGGGGTGATGAATGTTAACTAATACTATACAAGCAATATTGGAGAAATGCATCCTTCTCTATAAAAGCACAGTAAGAAAGATTTTTACAGGTATAAGAATAATAGAGTATAATTGGGGCTATAAGATACAATTTCGTTATCGGTGTACCAAATTTGAACCAAGATTTCCTGACCCGAAGACTGCATATTCCTTAACTGGGGATCAAATTTTCTTATATGGTAACAGTTGCTAATACGGCTAAAAAGATCAATGGACTTGGATTTACATAACCATGCACTTAGTTTGTTTAAATAATACCCAGGAGCAGAGAAGAAGATTTTCAAAGAATTAATGCATTTTCACTATATAATCAATAGAGCCCGCCCTAAAACCAGAACCCCTGACCCTGGGGCCATGGCTTTCACAATTTTGGAAGCCCGCAGGCCCACCTCCTCTTCATAACTATGTACTTAATCACCTTCATGCCCAGGAGCAGAGAAGAAGATTTTCAAAGAATTAATGCATTTTTACTATATAATCAATAGAGCCCCACCCTTACACCAGAACCCCTGACCCTGGGGCCATGAATTTCACAATTTTGGAAGAGGCACTCTTGCTCTTCATAACTATGTACTTAGTTACTTTATTTAATACCCAGGAGCAGAGAAGAAGATTTTCAAACAAATAATGCACTTTCACTATATGATCATATAGCCCCACCCTAGCACCAGAACCCCTGACCCTGGGGCCATGAATTTCATAATTTTGGTAGAGGGCTCAATGCTTATTACATTCATGCCAACGGTTTGACTGCTTGATGTCCAGGAGTAAAGAAGAAGATTTTTAAAGATTGCATTAATTTTGGTGGTTCTAGCCTCACCCCTCAGGTCCCAGGGGGGCAGGGACAATGGAATTCACAATTTTTGTTCCCCTTTACCCATAGAAGCTATATAACAAATTTGGTTGAAATTGGTTGAGCGGTTCTGGAGAAGAAGTTAAAAATGTTCAAAAGTTAATGCATGACAGACAATGCAGGACGAAAACGGATAGCAATAGGTCACCTGAGTAACTCAGGTGACCTAAAAACTCAAGAATCATTGTTTTTGTATATTTTTGAAAATTTTGTTACCATGGCAATGTCAGATATAAGAATTTTAGAAAAAACTTTATCAATTCAAACAAGAGGCCCATGGGCCACATCGCTCACCTGAGTAACTTTGGCCATGCTGTTCTTTACCAGATTTACCCCCTTCTAATACTTATTGTGGCCCTGTCCTACCCCCGGGGGTCATGATTTGAACAATTAAAAATCTACACTATCCCAGGATGCTTCCACATAAGTTTCAGTTTTTCTGGCCCAGTTGTTCTTGAGAAGAAGATTTTTCTTACATATTTCAATGTAAAATTGGATTCCCTATTGTGGCCCCGCCCTACCCCCGGGGGTCATGATTTTTACAATTTAGTATCTACACTACCCCAGGATGCTTCCACATAAGTTTCAGTTTTTCTGGCCCAGTTGTGCTTGAGAAGAAGATTTTTCAAGATTTTTCCTATATATTTCAATGTAAAACTTGGATTCCCTATTGTGGCCCCGCCCTACACTGGGGTTCATGATTTTAACAATTTAGCATCTATACTACCCCAGGATGCTTCCACATTAGTTTCAGCTTTTCTGGCCCAGTTGTTCTTGTGAAGAAGATTTTTCAAGATTTTTCTTACATATTTCAATGTAAAACTTGGATTCCCTATTGTGGCCCCGCCCCATCCCCGGGGGTCATGATTTTAACAATTTAAAATCTACATTATCCCAGGATGCTTCCACGTAAGTTTCATCTTTTCTGGCCCAGTTGTGCTTGAGAAGAAGATTTTTCAAGATTTTTCCTACATATTTCAATGTAAAACTTGGATTCCCTATTGTAGCCCCACCCTATCCCCGGGGGTCATGATTTGAACAATTTAGAATCTACACTCCCCCAGGATACTTCCACATAAGTTTCAGCTTTTCTTGCCTAATGGTTCTTGAGAAGAAGATTTTTAAAAAATTTTCTTATTTATTTCAATGTAAAACTTGGATTCCCTATTGTGTCCCCGCCCTACCCCGGGGGTCATAATTTGAACAATTTAGAATCTACACTACCCCAGGATACTTCCACATAAGTTTCAGCTTTTCTTGCCTAATGGTTCTTGAGAAAAAGATTTTTCAAGATTTTTCTTATGTATTTCAATGTTAAACTTGGAAACCCTATTGTGGCCCCACCCTACCCCCGGGGGTCATGATTTTAATAATTTAGAATCTCCACTACCCCAGGATGCTTCCACATAAGTTTCAGCTTTTCTGGCCAAGTGGTTCTTGAGAAGAAGATTTTTAAAAATTTTTCCTATTTATTTCAATGTAAAACTTGAATTCCCTATTGTGGCCCCGCCCTTCCCCCTGGGGTCATGATTTTAACAATTTAGAATCTACACTACACCATGATGCTTCCACATAAGTTTCAGCTTTTCTGGCCTAGTGGTTCTTGAGAAGAAGATTTTTCCTATATATTTCAATGTAAAATTGGATTCCCTATTGTGGCCCCGCCCTACCCCCGGGGGTCATGATTTGAACAATTTAAAATCTACACTATCCCAGGATGCTTCCACATAAGTTTCAGTTTTTCTGGCCCAGTTGTGCTTGAGAAGAAGATTTTTCAAGATTTTTCCTATATATTTCAATGTAAAACTTGGATTCCCTATTGTGGCCCCGCCCTACCCCCAGGGGTCATGATTTTAACAATTTAAAATCTACACCATCCCAGGATGCTTCCACATAAGTTTCAGCTTTTCTGGCCCAGTGGTTCTTGAGAAGAAGATTTTTAAAGATTTTTCCTATATATTTCTATGTAAAACATTGATTCCACATTGTGGCCCCGCCCTACCCCCGGGGGTCATGATTTGAACAATTTAGAATCTACACTACCCCAGGATGCTTCCATATAAGTTTCAGCTTTACTGGCCCTGTGGTTCTTGAGAAGAAGATTTTTTAATGACCCCACCCTATTTTTGTCTTCTCTTGATTATCTTACCTTGTGAGGGGACTTGGCCCTTCATTTTAACAATTTAAATTCCCCTTCACCCAAGGATGCTTTGTACCAAGTTTGGTCAAAATTGGCCCAGTGGTTCTTGAGAAGAAGTCAAAAATGTGAAAAGTTTACAGACGGACGGACAGACAGACAGACAGACAGACGGACGGACGGACGACGGACAAAATGTGATCAGAAAAGCTCACTTGAGCCTTCGGCTCAGGTGAGCTAAAAACACAATATTTGCTTCATATTTGCCAAATTTCATGCAAATTGGTTGTCAAAATTTTAAGATATCTGCATTTGAGTAAGCCAATGTGACAATTTTGTCAATTTTCCAAAACAACTCAGAACTGAGGTTACCACTCACTTAAAACAAGTCAGCACACAAAGGGTTAATACAATTATCAGAATTACTCATTTTTGTAAAGATCAAGCAGTACCAATCCTCAGAACAGCCATGTTCTTTGAAATAAACATCATAAGCAATATGCAATGCTGTGTCTCAAAGCAAGATGTGAATTTGATATTCTTTAAAGTAATAAACTCATTATAAGTATGAGGTTAATATATCACGTGTTTCTTACATGTATGTGTCTCTGATCTGATAATTATATATTTATGGCATTTAAGGTATATTGGAGAATAGATAACAGCAACATTTCTTTGATTTTGGCAATAACTGTAGAAAAATAACTACCATGGCATACCCCTGGAATTATAGTCTGAAAGAACCTAAATGGGCCTGTAGTTCTTTTCATGTATATTTTCCTGTAAATCTAGTAACACCAGACCTAGCCCAATCCTAGACCAGGGTAGCATCTTTACTAGGGCTGGGTATCGGCTGGGAATTTCGTATTGCGATATTTTAAACTGTATTGCAATATTTTTAATAACAGTTAAAATGCTCTTTTCTTAGTTTATTAACCTCCATTTATAATAGGAGTGAATAAAACTACATCTGTTTTATAAATACGCAAAAAAAAAAAGTTTTTGCCAATTTCACCTTAGTTCTGCAACAAAATATAACCATACAACAGGAACCTTAGTATTAGGCATGATTGAAAGCGTTTCTGGCATTTTAAATTTTACTTTAGAAATCACAAGCCCAAGCATTTTACCGATATACCGGTATTGGAAAAACGTATCGCAATACGATATTTTTTGTAAATGAATCACAATATACCGGAATATCGATATTATTGCACAGCCCTAATCTTTACCTTGTTTTACATCCAATTGCATTCTTTCACTAATATTTACATGTAAATTTCCTCTACTTGCTTAAGGTAAGCTGATATGGTGCTAAAGAATTTTACCTGTTAGCCAAAATTTTATCTGCTGATGTTAAGGCCATTTCAAATTCCCCTCTTTGTTCTGTCTTCCAGTCAGGACGGCATTGGTAATCCTGTACTTTTAAGTCTTTTACTTCAGCTCTTCTTCTTTTGTTGAAGAGGATAAGTCTAGATAAGGTTAGTTTGGCTAATTCAACCCAATCACATGCCATCTTTGTTGTCTTTAACTTCGATGATGTTTCCTTCATCTTCAACATTATGTGGTCACGCAGAGTTTGTAAATCCTCTGTAAGTGGAAGCACTTGGATTCTCTTCCTATTCAGTGTGTTTTTTCTTCTTGTGCAAACTGCATTCACTCTGTAATTCCATTCAGATTCGAATAGTTTCTGAAAATCACTGGCCTCCTGGCTTCTCTTTTCATCATTGGATCTAAGTGCTTCTCCAGTCTTTATTTGTATTATGTGTCCGAAAATGTTCCCAATAAAACTTCCAAGTGAAATTGCAGGATTTTCTCCAGACACAGACATTGATTGAGTTGCAGAAACAACTAAATCAAAATGATGTGGGGACACAAGTGTATCCAAAGTAATCATTGCAGTAGAATTCAATTTTTTGCATTCAATAATCAAGCGTCCCAGTGTTCGACAACATTGTGAGATCCGGTGCATGTCACCAATTTTCTGATCTTCTTTGCTTCCTAGAGACTCTACTCGTAATGAAGCATACTTCTTTATTATGGAATCGTTCATAACCACATCTTTTACTTCATCATTTCGCATCCTGTCCAACATTTTCACAACTGAAGTATCTTCATCAATCAATCCACTGTACAACAAACTGTATCCCCTTCTCACAGCATTATTGGATTTTTCATTCTCAGTACCTCTTGTTTCTACATTTCTGTTTTTTTCATAAAATACATGAATTGGACAAGTTCTGTGGTGCAACCACAGATTTTTTTTCAAAATGAACTTTTTGCAATACTCGCAAGGCAAGAAGTCCATAGGATTATGCTGTAATTGGGATTCTCTTCTTGCTACAACAAGCAGTCCTTCCTTCTTTTTCAAAACTTAATTATGCTTAAAGTTTCCCTCATTTGCTAAAAGTTCTAATTCAACCTTTCTCTCCTCGGATCTTTTTGGTAAAGAAAGAATTTTCATCACTTTGGGTTCAAGTTTGTGGGTAAGAATATGTCTTGATATTTTACTTTTGATATTTTTGGAACAGAAGGTACAATAATTTTGTTTATCATATGTTTGTTTGCATCCCTCCTTTATTTTTCCTTTTGGAAGCAATCCAAATTCTTCCTTCGAAACAACTCTTGTGTTGAATTGGGAAGTGCAGGGTAAGCTGATAATATCAGACATAGAGGAATCGTCTTCAATGTCGGAAACATTATCCTTTTCTTCCAAGTTTTTATTGAGATTCCTTTTTTTAGCCTTATTGACATTGTGTTCAAGTTTTCTTTTTTTGTGCCTGAATAAAGTGTCACTTTCATCGTCAGAATCACTACTAAAACTCCTTTCCACCTCACTTTTAGAACACAAAAAATCTGGATCCCTGAAGCTATCATCAGAAGAAAAGCAACATTCATCTGAAAAGTATTGGTACACTGGTGTGGCAACCATTCTCTCTGTTAAAAAAAAAGAAATAGGAAAATGTAGGGAATAACTAGACATCATTGACATTGTGACCATCTCAAAGGGCCTCGCTTAAACTAATATACATTAGGATTTAAAGCATTTCAGAGATTTAACCTATAACTTCGAAGTTTTCCAGTTGGCATAAAACTTAAATTCAAACTCACTGCTAACCTCTGAGCAAGATTAAGCCAATGGGAAAGAATTTAAGGTCCAAAACTGGATATTAAAGTTATCAGCTATGACCTTCACATCTGACCTAAAAATATGGTTCAAGGTCACTGCAAACCCTTTACCTAAAAGCTCTGTTTATGTGAAGTGTGTGCCAGATAGCACTAAGAGGAGAGAATATATGATCTGGAATTTGTTTGGAAAGGAAATGACCTTGACCTAGAAACTTTGTTCAATGTCACTGCACACCCTTTGAGTAAAGGCACTCTGTTGGTGAAGTATGAGCCAGACTGGACCAAGAGGAGAGAATATAAGTTCTGGATAAGGATTTTTACATATAATTCTGCCTATGACCTTAACCTTAGACTTAGAAACTTGGTTGAAGGTTACTGCACACCCTTTACCGAAAGGCACTCTGTGGATGTGGATGAACCAGATTGGGTCAAGGAAAGAGAAAATATGCTCCGGACAAGTGATCTCAGACAGACAGACAGTCTAACGTATGGACAGACTGATCACTAAAGGGTGCCCATTGAGCGGGGTCTAATTAAATGATGAATGCAAAAGGGCATTATATAAACAACAGACCCATGGGCCACATCGCTCACCTGAGCAACACTAGCCAAAATAGAATCAGCTTTATGGAGTCATATACTAAATATCTGGACAATGTAGTAGAAAAGATCCTATGTAAAGAGATTTTCCGGTTTTTTTTTCCAGATATATTTATGTTAAACATTGTAACAAGATGACTTTATAGTCATATCTAAATGATTGAGAATTAACAATATATTAAGATGCTTGCATAAAAGTAAAATCATATAACATTTGACTTCTTTGAGAATGATTAAATTTTTTTCCCTATGTAAAATTGGATCCCAAATGTATGTGGACCTACTCTATCCCCAAAAACAAACTTGAATCTACAATATCTGATAATACTTTCACAAAAGTTACTGATTTTCTAAGCAAGTGGTTTTTGAGAAAGAGATTTTAAAGTTTTTTCTCTATACATCTCTATGCAAAAATTTGATCCCCATTGTGGCCCATCCTTATCCCTGAGAATCATGATTGAAACAAACTTGAATCTATGTAAAAACTGGATCTCCTTTTGTGGTCCCATTTAAACAATCTTCACAACCTGAGGATAATTCAGCACAGGTTTTAGCTTTTCTGGCAAAATGGTTTTTGAGAAGAATTTTTTTAAAGATTTCATCTATATATTCCTTTATAAAAATTTGACCCCCCCCCCATTGGGCCACACCCTACCCCCAGGGATCACAATTTGAACAAACTTGAATCTACACTACCTCAGGATGCTTCTACACAAGTTTCAGCTTTTCTGGCCAATTGGTTTTTGAGAAGAAGATTTTAAAGATCTTTCTCTATACAAGATACAAGATTTATTAGTCCAATTTGGGCCCCCGGAGGAGCAAAAAAGATTTACAAACATGAAACAAAGAAGGAGGAAGATCCAAATGATAGAACAAACATGATCTTAAATATAATGAGCAGTGCTTAATTGTATAATCATTGATAAATGCATCTACAAGAGGTACATACGAGTATACATATTGTAATATAATAACTAGATGCTGTCATGAGACAGTAATACCCGCATTAAGGTGTTTGCCTCTAAATACACACTCCTTCATTTTGGGCTTACCAAGGAAAAAGTCAAAATAATTCAATAATTTACACAGCATGTATTTGTCAATTCGAGCATAAAATGCTCAGGTGACCATGCGACCTATGAGCCTCTTATAGGTATTTCCTTTACTAAATTCATTACCAGTCCGAAATAACATTATTTAATTAATGATGTAAATTAGGTTTTGATACAAGAGGCCCAAGGGCCTTAACAGTCACCTGAGTACAATACAACAATTTAGAGGATCCATAAACTGATAAATGAAGCTTTGTTGCCCAAAAGCAAGAAAAATAGTATGATTAGCATCAACAAAATAATTGGTCTAGTATCTATCTGCCCCCCCCCCCCCATTCATCACTATTCCCATGCAGACTATTAACAAATTGTCCATTATTTAACCCCATATTATTACATCTCACAATGGCCTCTCTTGGCCTTTGAAGAACATTTTAAAAGAGGAGAAGTAATTTTTGTCTCATTTTTATTCATCTATTATTTCCAAGTCATTAAAACTATGAAAGTACTTTTTTTTATTATACAATAAATTTTCTTGCATAATTCTCTTATTCTATTAAGCTTTCAAATACATTATTTACATTGATTAATTATCAAAGGTGAATGGCAAAGGGGAATAACTTTGCTCAGCAGAATACAAGTTAATAGAGCCCTGGCCAGGACCAGAACACTTGACTAAATGGTCCAGGTGTTCAAAATTCTGGTAAAAATACCCTTGCATATTAAAACTTTTACTCTGTTTGCCTTGAACATCCCCAGAAGCATAGAATATTTTCAAAGAAATGCATTTTCACCATATTATTAAATAAATAAAGCCCCATCCTTACACCAGAACATCTGACCCATTGGCCACGAATTCACAATTCTGGAAGAAGCACCCTTTCTCATCATAACTATACATTTGTTTCTTTACTTTATAACTAGTAGTAGAAAAAATATTTTGAAAGAAATTATGCATTTTCACTATATAATCAATTATAGAGCCCCCCCCCCCCCCCTTACCAGAACCCCTGACCCAGGGCCATGAATTTCACAATTTTGGAAGAGGCATTCTTCCTTATCATAACCATGCACTTCCTTTGTTTGAAAAATACCCAGGAGCAGAGAAGATGACTTTGAAAAATTCATGCCTTTTCCCTATATAATCAATAGAACCCCGCCCTAACACCAGAACCCCTGACCCTGGGGCCATGAAATTCTTAATTTCTGAGGAGGCAGCCATGCTCATTATAAGTATGTACTTAGTTTATTTAATATCCAGGAGCAGAGAAGAAGATTTTCAAAGAATTAATGCAATTTTACTATATAATCAATAGAGCCCAGCCCTAACACCAGAACCCCTGACCCAAGGGCCATGAAATTCACAATTTCTGAAAAGGCAGCCATGCTCACCATAACTATGTTCTTAGTTAATTTAATAGCCAAGAGCAGAGAGAAAGATTTTCAAAGAATTTATGCAATTCTACTATATAATCAATAGAGCCTTGCCCTAACACCAGAACCCCTGACCCAGGGGCCATGAAATTCACAATTTTGGAAGAGGCACTCTTGCTTATCATAACTATGTACTTAGTTACTTTATTTAATACCCAAGAGCAGAGAAGAAGATTTTCAAAGAATTAATGCATTTTCACTATATAATCAATAGAGCCCTGCCCTAACACCAGAACCCCTGACCCTGGGGCCATGAAATTCAAAATTTTGGAAGATGCACTCTTGCTCATCATAACTATGTACTTAGTTACTTTATTTAATACCCAGGAGCAGAGAAGAAGATTTTCAAAGAAATAATGCACTTTCACTATATGATCTATATAGCCCCACCCTAGCACCAGAACCCCTGACCCTGGGGCCATGAATTTCACAATTTTGGTAGAGGGCTCAATGCTTATTACAATCATGCCAACAGTTAGACTGCTTGATGTCCAGGAGTAAAGAATATTTTTAAAGATTGCATTATTTTTGGTGGTTTTAGCCCCACCCCTCAGGCCCCAGGGGGACAGGGACCATGAAATTCACAATTTTTGTTCCCCTTTACCCATAGATGCTATATGCCAAATTTGGTTGAAATTGGTTAAGCGGTTACAGAGAAGAAGCTAAAAATGTTCAAATGTTAACACATGACGCACGCCGACGGACGAGAACGGATAGCAATAGGTCACCTGAGTGACTCAGGTGACCTAAAAATCTGATACTTCAAACAAGAGGCCCATGGGCCACATCGCTCACCTGAGTAACTTTGGCCATGCTGTTCTTTACCAGATTTTCCCCTCCTAATACCTATTGTGGCCCCGCCCTACCCCCGGGGGTCATGATTTGAACAATTTAGAATCTACACTACCAGAGAATGCTTCCACGTTAGTTTCAGCTTTTCTGGTCCTGTGGTTCTTGAGAAGGAGATTTTTAAAGATTTCTCCAATATATTTCAATGTAAAACTTGGGATTCCCTATTGTGGCCCTGCCCTACTCCCGGGGGTCATGATTTGAACAATTTAGAATCTACACTATCCCATAATGCTTCCACATAAGTTTCAGCATTTTTGGCCCAGTGGTTCTTGAGAAGAAGAATTTTTAATGACCCCACCCTATTTTGTCTTTTCTTGATTATCTCCCCTTGTAAGGGGACTTGGCCCTTCATTTTAACAATTCAAACTCCCCTTCACCCAAGGATACTTTGTACCAAGTTTGGTTAAAATTGGCTCAGTGGTTCTTGAGAGGAAGTTGAAAATGTGAAAAGTTTACAGACAGACGGACGGACAGACAGACGACGGACAACAGGTGATCAAAAAAGCTCACTTGCGCTTTCAGCTCAGGTGAGCTAAAAACCAAGGCCCAGAGCAGCAGATTTTCAAAGAAAAAATGCATTTTCACTACATATTCAAAAGAGCCCTGCCATGACATCAAAACCCCCGACCCAAGGGTCATGAACTTCACAATTCTAGAAGAGTGATTCTTGCTCATCATAACCATGCAATTTGTTAGTCTGCTAATTACCTAGGGAAGAGAGGAAGAAATATTTTTTTTTAAAAAATGAAAGAAAAAGTGAGCAAGCTCACATACCCCACGCTCCCCCAAAATTCGACAATACAACACGTAATGAATGGCACAGTGCAGTTTAAAAACACGGTATAATTCAGAAAGGGGCATTACTTGCAAAAAATCACCACATCAAAACTTCTTGCATATAAGGACATTCAGATCTTTGTATGTTACAAAGAATGAGTGCACTTTAGAGTGTCATTTGGAGCCTTTTCGGTCACCCATTTTAACCCTTAAATTAGACTATATTGCTAAATTAATCTATGATTATTGTGCATACATATGCTTTTGATATTTATACTTCGAATTTTTTATTAAACATATTGCTATAATTCCACACAACGTCATTGAAAAGAACATGTATAAGCCTTAAATTCCGGAAATTTGAACTGGACCACTTTCGAATTTAAGGTACCCACAAATGGGCGGAGATATTTAAATCGCATGGAAGTGGAATGTAAACATTTGCACATTATTTCCAGATTGATTCTACAGTATGAATTTAAATGGGGGAGAGAAAGATTGTGTAGCTTCATGATTCACACAAATAATAAATGATTCATGGCCATACATATTGATCATTTTCATGATTCGTAACCATATGTTTGATGCCTAGCACCGAATTAGATCAATCTTAAGTTTTCGTATATGATAAAAAGTGCCCCCTCTTTTTTTCTTTAGCTTTATCATTTTTCGTTTTATATGCTGAATGCTTTTCAATTCAAAGAATGAATGTATGTTTTAAGAAAGATTCACATGTACATGACTTCGATGTCACACTACATTTAATCATAATTCACTGTACATGTAGTACGTAGAGTAATACAAACGTGTAGTGAAACAAATTATACATGTATGTAGTACTCACAGTGATACATATTTTATTATATGCATGATTGTATAGATAAATAACATTCGGAAATGAAATATAAAATTTTAACTTAAAATTTGAGTCGGTAGGTTAACATGAAAACTCCAAGAAATACAAACTATCTGTAATTTGAATTAACATTTTATTGATGGAACAAGTATATTTCAGATTAAAAAACATAGTCAACGAAAATGTATATGTACTTGGTGCACACAATGCATCGCTAGATGATGTGCAAAGAGAAGACCCCAGTAGTTTAAAACTTCTGTAGAATAGATAACGCTGCATTTGAGCAACTTTTACAATTACATGTAGTTACCCCTTTTGATCTTCTTCCCATAAAACAACGAGTTTTTCGATATTTTTACTGCTAAAGTCGACCATTATTTACCACGTGCTTTTTTTTGTTATGATAAAAATAGGATGACCACAATGTGAGTACTTTCGATTGGTTTGAAAATGAAAGGTAAGTTAAGACTAGTATTAAGAAATAGAGCATTGCCCTATTCTTAATACAGTTTTATAAGATTCGAAAAATCTTAGGATTCACCGTATTAAAAGTCTATACATAGTCAGATTTTGTACTTAAATATACATCCGTGTGTACAGCCCTGAAGTATATTGATAGACACAATGAGAGCAAATCGAACAGTGGAATGTCATGTGAGTAAAGTGATTATAATATCAAACAGGTCAAAATAGGTTGACACTTGGTGACCTGTTAATTTAGCAGCTAACCCGAGCGTAGTTTGGAGATTTTTTTTGAAAATTACATATGAGACGCAAATTGTCCAACATTGCCCTTTGGATATGTATAAGTTTAAATCAAAATACACATTCTGTGCAAATGAGAAGAATGGACAAGTTGCGGCTCGATGTAAACAATGTCGTTGAAAACTGGTATGCATATGAATAACAATAGATATGTGACAAAACTGCTAGACCCCTGTCGCAAAAACCACTGTCGCTTGGCATTATTTAATATTCTTATGTGATATAATATATCAAACTCTGCTCTTAAGATATTGTTTAATAATTCTGATTCAAAAAATTTATAAATTTCAGAAATTTATTATTGGCAAAGCACCGGGATCCAACTCTCATAGCTTAAGTGCACTGATCCTTTAATTAAGTTTTTAGATAAATAATGGAATCAAAATTTCTTGGTAATATACAAATCTATACATTATGTCTGAAATACCTACTAAGTTTCAGGAAATTCAGTGCAGGAGTTATGCTGACAAACTGTTATTTAAATTCCTCAGTGATTTCGATTTGTTAATGAGTGTAAGTCCATGTCCAACACATGACAATTTACACATTTAAATAATTGATGGAAACAAAATTATGATGTAGTCATATGAATTTGTTTATAAACTGTACTTACGAAATTATTTAAGGCAAAGCACCAATTTGAGGGGGGGGGGGGGGGATTTTGATTTTGTGTGTGTGTGTGTGTGTGTGTTAAATCATTAATATTTTGATCTCAAAATCAATAGGGGTCTTTTAAGGTCATAAAATATTTCACATAAAATTTCATTATAAAAGATGATTCCAGTGGATTTCCTTATTACCTAGCTTGAAAGTTTCTTCAATAATAGGCAAAACTCTTAGGGCAAAAATAATGGAATCGGAATTTCCTGGTAATATGCAAATCTACACACTGTGTACTAAATATCTGCAAAGTTTAACCAAATTCTGTGCAGTGGTTTAAGAGGAGTTGCACTAACAAACTGTTCATCTCTATATTCAAGATATGGCCAAAAATCTAATTTGAAAAGTGCCAAAATTCCCAGAAAAATAATGGAATTGGAATATCCTGGTAATCTGCACATCTACACATTGTGTGCTAAATATCTGCAAAGTTTGACCAAATTCTGTGCAACGGTTTAAGAGGAGTTGTGCTGACAAACTGTTTATCTCTATATTCAAGATATGGCCAAAAATCTAAGTTGAAAAGTGCTGAAATTCCCAGAAAAAATAAAGGAATCAGAATTTCCTGGTAATATGCACATCTACACATTGTGTGCTAAATATCAGCAAAGTTTGACGAAATTCTGTGCAGCGGTTTATGAGGAGTTGAGCTGACAAAAAAACAGGACTGACGGACTGACTGACTGACACACTGACTGACGGACGGGTCAAAAACATTATACCTCTTGTTGCGTGGGGTATAATTATGCATTTTCTGATCTATAGAGCCCTGCCCTAACACCAGAACCCTAACCAAGGGGTCATGAAATTCACAATTTTTGAAGAAGCACCCTTGCTTATCATAACTGCAATTTGTTAGTCTTATAAATACACAGTAGCAGAGAAGATTTTCAAAGAATGAAAGCACTTTCAATATAAAATCAATAGAGCCCCATCTAATACCAGAACCTCTGACCCAGGGGCCATGAAGTTCACAATTTTGGAAAAGGTATACTTGCTCATCATAACTATGCACTTGGTTTGTTTGCTAAATACCCAGCAGAGAAGAATGCATTTTCACTATAGAATCAATAGAGCCTCCCCTAACCACCAACACCAAAACCCCTGACCATGGGCTGCCATACATTTTATGATTTTGGAAGAAGCAGCCTTGCACATAATAAACATGTACGTAGTTTTTCTGCTAAATCTACAAGAAGGTTTTTAAAGAATTTTTGCATTTTCTCAGTATAATAATTAGAGTCCAGTCTTAACTCCAATACTCTGACCCAGGGGTCATGAATTTCATAGTTTTGGTAGATGGCTCAATGCTTATTACAATCATTCCGACAGTTTTTGAATGTTTGATGTCCAGGATTAAAGAAGATTTTTCAAGATAGCACTAATTTTTATGGTTTTTTCCCTGGGGGCAGGAACCATCAATTCACAAATTTTGAACCTCTTCACCTATTGATGATACATCATGTATATGCCAAATTTGGTTGAAATTGGTTCAGTGGTTCAAGAGAAGGAGTTGAAAATGTTCAAAAGCTTATGACCAATGAACGGCGGACAGCGCACGATGATGGACAAAAGCAGATAGAAATAGGTCACCTGTGTGACTCAGGTGACCTAAAACTGAGGTAAAGGTCGAAGGGATGGTCAAGGTCAAACAATTTTGATGCAGTTGAGTAGCTCCCATCAATATGTATCACCATAAGTTAAGTTAAATAAAAATATCTTGAGTGAAGTTAAATAAAAATATCTTATATTGTTTTTTGAAACTGGAATAACTGCAAAGTGTGATGGATAGACAGATGGAAGGACACAGGGACAGAAAATGAACATCACAAACACTTTATGCTCTGGCCATATCCATGGCTGGGCATAAAAAAACATTCTAAATTTATCCAAAATATTACCTTCAATGGCTTCTTGTGCTATATCATCATGAGAATCTGTTTCATCCTCAACCTCAGGTTTTTGTTTCTCAGCATCTACAGTCTCACTTTGAGAATTCTTCTTGGTGTCATCTTGATCTGCTTCTTCTTTAGGCAGCATATCTGTGGGAGGATCAATCAAATTCTGATTTTCATCAGACTGACCCTTATCATCAGGGTTAGTGTCTGCCTTTACAGGAGGTTCTTCTTGTGTGGTATGAGAGTCGGCCATTGTTGGTTTCTCAAATACCTCACCTTTGAGCTCCTCCTCAGAGGGAGCTAATGAAGACTCTTCAGGCTTTGTGACTGCCTTTCCAGAGTCAGAGTGATCTGTGTCACTTTTGGAATGTTCAGTTTTCTCCTTTTTGCTGTCCAGTGGGGCTTTTTCCTCTTTATTTTTGGAGATATTTCTGTCTCCAACTTTCAACTCTTTGGTCTTTTTTTCTTTAAGTGATGCCTTTTCAATCTTTTGTTCTTTACTGACCTTTGCTGCCAGTGGGCTGGGTGATGTTTGTGAAGCTGGAGTAAAGACAGGTGCATCAGGATTAAGATTAACCTTGAGGGGAGAGGTCAGATCATCTGATACTGATGTCTGGCTCTGACTTCTGTCAGTAGAAAAATCTTCACTTGTAGTACAGTCCTCCCATTCATCAGCATCTCCTTGACTTGTTTGTCCTCGAGCATCCTCAAAATGGCCATTTTTATCATATCCTTCCCCATGATAATCATTAAACAAGTCTTTCTGTTCAAAAATATCATCTTCAGCTGGGATTCCCTGCAACTCCAGCCCTATATCATCCCCCTCTTCATCCCACCACAGTTCTTCAGCATGTGGCCCTGCCTTCTTATGGTGGGCTGCTGTGTGATCTCCACTATGTGCTTCATTTTCTCCATCAGAATACTCCACTTCCACCTGATCTGACTTTGTCCCTGGTGTGTTATCCACCTTAATGACCAGCAAGTCTTTCTTACAGTCAACATGTCCATCCTCTCCTGAATATGTCATCACCCGCCCTGGATCATTCCCAGAGCCACTCCCCCTGTTGTGAGCTCTGCCTCTTCCCCTTCCCCTTCCAACCGGACGATAGACTGCATCTTTCTCCACTATATGTTCTTGTCCCACTCCATTTGGCTGAGGTTTCCCTCCAGATTCCTTGGAATCCTTTCGTCCAGGTGCTGAAGAAATAATTTTAAACTGTAGAGATTTTATGCTCTTATGATACAGTGAAAGAGAGATAAAAAAAAATCATTTTCAAATTAGACATTTTGCTATAACCCTTTTTTCTAAAACACTACAGTTAGCCTATATAAACAGTTAGCCTATATAAAATAGCCTATAAAAATACATTGTACTGCACATTTTTACAAGTTTGGTTTCAAAGAAGTTATTCCCAGAACATTGGCTAGCTTTATATATTTAACAATTATTAACTTGGTACCATAAAGGTAGAAAAAAGATGGCAACTATATGTTTTAGGGATGACAAAAATTCACCAGTTAACAGCCTAATCAGTCAGAAAGATCGTAACTGGTTTCAAATTTAATAAGCGGTTAGTCAATGGCTTTTACAGTATGTGTACTTTTTCAATAATATTTCCATCTTTTAAAATTAGCAGAGGCCCACGGGCCTTAAAGGTCACCTGAGTATCACGTAACAACTTTCCCACAATTTAGTTGGTTCAAATTTTAAACCAGAGGCCATGAAATTCATAATTTTAAAAAAGGCACCGTTGCTCATTAAATCTATACAGTTAGTTTGTTTACTTAATACCCAGGAGCAGAGCAGAGGATTATCAAGAAATAATGCATTTTCACTATATAATCAGTAGAGCCCCCACCGAACATGAAGCCCTGACCCTGGGGCGAATATTTCAAAATTTTGGAAGAGGCACCCTTGCTCATCATAACTATGCAGTTAGTTTGTTTCTTTAATACCTAAGAGCAGAGGAGAAGATTTCAAAAGCATTAATGCATTTTTGCTATTTATCAAAAGAGCCCCTTCCACTGAACCCCTGACCCATGGGCCACATCACAATTTTGGAAGAGGCACCCTTGTTCATCATAACCATACACTTAATTCATCAGCTTAATACCCAAGAGCAGAGGAGAAGATTTTCTAGCAAGAGATGTATGTGAAACACTGATGCCCCCCCCCCCCAATAATTGGAATTTTCCTAAGTCCAAGGGGCATAACTCTGTCAGAAATTGCTCAATTGTACCCAAAACAGAATTGACTTAGATATTCTTATGATAAATCTTTATACCAAATTTCATTTCAGTATGTGCAACATCTACAAAGAAAATGAACGGAAACTGTTGGTGAACCGACAGACAGACAGACCGACCGACAGACAGCAGCAAAGCAATATGCCATCCCTTCTTTGAAGGGGGCATAAATATTATTTGTGTTAGGTTAGGCTTGGGCACTCTCCAATATTCCAGTTCGAATTTAGCCAATTGAGATATTGCAATTGGAGAAATGATGGTAAAGGGCATCATACACCCAGATTTGATTTACTTTTTCATGTAGAAAAAGTTCTTCAAATGTCTGCCATTACTTTAAGTGGGGAATTACCTTGTTCTTATGACAGTTACTGCCATTTTGGGCTTGCACATGTGTTTATTTATGGTCATCTAAATGTTTGTAAAGGTCTCAATTATTGATAAGCGCTTATTTGACTTAGATGCATTCTAAATTTTAAAACCCATCGTTCAGCTGAGAAAAATCGGGAAAAATTATATTTCAGAATAAAGACATTATTTTTATTTTCATGATTGGTGAAAATTAGGGTTGGCAGAGTCGTAAACCAAAAGAAAAAAAACTTTAGCGCCTTAATACCCTGGATCAGAGGAGAAATTTTTTTAAGAAATAATGCATTTTCAATTGTATTCAACAGGACCCCGCCCAAGCACCAGAACCCCTGACCCTGTGGCCATGAATTTCACAATTTTGGTAGAGGGCTAAATGCTTATTACAATCATGCCAACAGTCTGACTTTGATGTCTGGGAGTCAAGAAGAAGATTTTTAAAGACTCCATGCATTGATTTTGATGCTTTCAGCCCCACCCCCTCAGGCCCCTAGGGGGCAAGGACCTTGAAATTCATAACTTTTGTTCCCCTTCACTCATCAATGCTATATGCCAAAATTGGTTGAAATTGATTGAGCAGCTCCTGAGAAGCTGAAAATGTTTAAATGTTAGTGCAGGACGGATGAAAACATATAGCAAAATGTCACCTGAGTGACTCAGGTGACCTAAAAACTCTTTTAAAGTAACATGTTTAAAACTGAAATGAGGCAATCAAACAATTCAACAATTCACAAGCTGCCACTGCTGTTAAAACATGTCCCCTGCAATTTAATTATTATAATCCTGAATACTATACTTATACACCATATAAAAAAATATTTCTTTTATTCCAACTGATGTGTTAATAATGTGCCCTGCCACAGTATGATATGCCCGTCAAATATTGTTTAATTATCGTAAACAGTTTAGAGTGGAAGAAAATCATGTCAACCTTGATACAAAGATTTCAATGTCAGATTTTTCCATTCCCTATATTAATGTTTGAAGTATATACATCTCCTGTGGTGTAGGTATTAATTATAACAAATATATGCCATATATTTATCAACTGGTTGTGTCAGAGCTTAATTTACAAATGCCCATCTGCAGCTTTGTTTATTATATATTTCATGATTGATTAACACTACAGCCTAAAAAAACATCAAAACAAATTATTCTTTAGACTATAAAATTGTCATCTTAGTGAGACATGACACTCTGCAATTTGTTGTAAAGATATAAAAATTAAAACTAATTAACTAAGTTTTAATCACATTATACAATATCAAATTAGTTTTAATTATATCATACAACATCAAATTAGTTTTAATTACTTTACATCAAATTCATCTTGAAAGTTAGGCTAGCCAACAAGAACTATTTAATCCAACACAAGGAATTAAGATGCTGATTCCTTTGCTCAATTCCCAAGACATATAGATAACACCTGCTTGATCAGAGATGCTCTACCAGTTATCTCCTCACACTAACTTCATTTATTTCTCTCTAATTTGACATGCAATTTTGCCTGACCCCACGTGCATCAGGCATTATAAGGATCAAAATTCCTTGGTCCAAAACTAAGTGATCATACTTAGTGAGCTAGATTTTGTGCAAGCTGATTTACATCGGAATTTGTTACCTGCATTTAAACAAATACAGTTTGCAGAAGAAAGAATCATATTACTGATGCAAAATAATGATGTGTTTACTTTCTTCAGTTTTTTTGCATGTACCTGTTTATTCTTTGCAATTCTTTATACCACATACATGTGATATGTACAGTATTTGCGACCCCCGTCACGGTGTCCCGGCGGTACACAAAAATTCACGTGAAATGAATTGTTGTACCGTATTTTGAACTGTTACCCAAAAAACCGCCATTTTTCTTCCATTCTCGCAACACCAATGCGTGACTCACTGTGCCTGTAAACAAAATACCATGCTGGAAGGTGTGAACTGTTCTCCGCGATAATTACTATGTCATTAAAACATATCAAATTTTCCTTTATGTTGAGTTGTTTTTACAGGGTGGTTTGCAATTAAAACTTGTTAGAATTTCGTCAGTTTGAGAGACATGTCTAAGAGAAAAAGACACGAGTCTGAACCATCTCTAAGTGATGGGGATAGGGGGAAACGAAATTCAATCCAACATGGGTTACAGAATTTCCATGGGCAAAAGTTAGTGCAGTAAGTGTGCATCATGTATTTTGCATGATTTGCAGCACTAATTTTTACATGTGGAGAGAATTAATGCAAGTATGCAAAGTTTCTTTTGCTGCCTTTAGCATTGCCCACTCAAACAGATTCTGAGAGATGTTTCAGCATCATGCGGAAAATACAGACAGACTGGAGGCAAAGACTGTCACAAGATACAATAGACAGTCTCTTATGTACATCAATGGAGATTGCTGTGAATATGAGCCCCCTACTCAAATTTTAAAAGCTGCAAAAGTTGATTGCAACCAATAAAACATGTCAATTTGAATTAAATTATGTATTAAATCTAATCCTTATTTAACATTTTTGTTGTTATTTTGTACAGTTTTTTCATGACCTTTGTACAGTATTTTCATCCAAATTCCAGTATTTTTAAGGCTACTGTACAGTATTTGGGTCCAGAACTTATCACATGTATGATACCAACATGTCTGTGTAACATTTTTTTTGCATTTTTAAACTACTGGATCAGTCCATTTGTCTTCTACCAAAGGGATGACACAATCATTTCGCACCAAATGTCACAAGTAAATTATCTTTGCGCCTTTTTCTTGGATTGTTCTATTGAATGGGTGTGATAACTTCTATGGAAATAAATAAAGTTTGTTCTTTAACCTGATTCTTAAGCTTTAGATTTTTTATGAACTGCAAATTTTATCTCATTTAAAAAAAAACACATTGTATATGGGCAGGCAACACAAAAGCAATGGATTTGCTGATTATTCTTACTATTATGTTTCCCAGTTTAATACCCCTTAAGTGGACTAGTCCAATCATAAACAAATTCCCTCCACCTAGTAAATGGGACATCCCTCCTTCTTGATTCAGTCTGTTTTCCCCCTTTTCTTTCAATATTAAAAAATAATGTACGTTTCAAGGTTAGCTTTTTAAAGAATCGGCAAAATGATTTCAGATTACATCATGATCTGTACTGGTTTTCATTTCATTAAAAGACATGTTATTATAGAAGAAATGAGAAAAATCCTGATATTGATTGAAAAGAACTGTAAACGATTTTAAAACTGTACATATACATTTTAAACTTATTCATAATATATGGCAAGACCATCATCGCAAGAAAGTTTTTTCCGGGAGATTATTAGTATCTTGTTTTGCTCTAGCTATAAAGTATACAGGCAATTTACTTAATGTCCTAGAGCAGCACTGAAGCATTTTTGTCTCAAACACTTCAAGTTAAAACTGTTCACAATTTACTTCGTCTTCTAGAATGACAGAGAAGAGACCAGTCTATAAATAAAGGCTATCTCATCAATCTGTCACTGACCAGAGTGTGTGCATGAAGAAGCGCGCCTTTAGAACGACTCGTCTATTTTTCCCAGAATTCCAATCTATGAAAGTGCACTTGCAGTTTCATCCCAATGTAACTA